AACCTATACTAAGTAAACTCACTCTACAGTTCATTTGGAGGCAAGATAGTTAATTTTCTAAACACAAGTTTTTCATGAGGTCAACTCCAGTCCAAGATTTATCAAGCACCTACTATGTTTCAAGTACTCTACAAGGCAACAGAGATAAAATAATATGATCTTATTCTTGGCAAACACAACAAATAATCAACCCCCAATCTAATAAATTTTACAGTCTTTTTATGTTGAACCCAATCCAATGCTTAACTCATTTCCTCCTACTTCTTTTCCTCTGGAAAAATTAGAAATCAGTCTTTAACTATCATCAATCGCTGGCTCCCATGGAATCTGTTCTTCCCCTTATTCCTCTGCCCACCTCCAATTCCTAATCATATCTGATCCTCTATAGTTATTGAGTATACTTATGGTTTTTCCCTTGAAAAAAATTCAACATGCATTCAGTATTCATTTATGGAGTACCTGTGACATGTAAAGCCCTGCACTGAACTCTGGGGAAATAGCTAGAGGATGAGGCTCAGTGCCATCTTCCCAGATGCCCATGCCACAGTGTGGTATATAAGTATTTCAAGACTGAATGAAAAACAGGCCAAGAAAACAAGTGACTGGTGTAAGCACGGAGGACAGAGATTTCCTCTGCAGGGTGGACAGAGACGGGAGGACGGAACCCTGCCTTGCACCTTCTCTACTCCAATATGGACAGAGCCTATTCCTTGGTAAAAAGTGTTAAAAGGATTCTATCCTTCCAATGCTCGGCTCTTTTCCCATGCATGATGGTCTCAACAAACAGGAGTATCCTCTATCCTTCCATAATATGAAGATTTCGGGCAGCCAGGGCTGGCTCTCTGACCAGTCTATGCTCTCATTCCTCGCTCCGTTTGCTTAATGAAAAATGGTGACATAGTAAGATAACACAAAAAGGAAATCCTCATGAAAGAAAGATGTGTATGTGTTACTCACTGTACATGTAAATAACCTATAGCTTTGTTGTATTCGGATGGAATGGTTAACATTCATTATTTTAATTATTTTATTCATCTAGCTATGTGATTAAAAACCATGCCTGAGACCGTTTATAGGAGTTTACAAGCAAAATCTAAGTCCTCTGGCTTCCAGAAGTGAGCCTAGTCAAACGCAAAACAAAGCAAAAATTTTAAAATGAGTTTTCTTAAAAGTACACTCAAAGGTTGAAGGAAAACAAAGAGAACATGTTTCTCTTTCCTTGAGTAAATATGGTTTCTGTGTAAGATTTTTAAATTGGGGAGATTTTTCTTTTTTTAAAGAAAAATAATAACACATATGAATAAGACTCATGAGGTCACATGAAAAATGAGGACTCTTGAAATAGTGGCACGTTTGCTGTTTGGGTCTTTATTTTAATCAGAGTCTCCTGAGGAAGCTACCCTGGATTTCTCAGGATTGGCTCAAAGTAAGTATAAGTCTCTCTAGTAAGTGTTGCTCTGGAATAGACTGGCTTTTCTGCTTTCCTTACCAACACTAAATTTCACACAAATATGCTACAAAAGAAGAAACTAAAGCTAAACAACAACAACAACAACAACAAAACCCCAGCCCCCTGTTCCTCCTTTATACAGTTCTGTCGCTAATGAGGAAGTACTATGCTTTGACATTTAAAATGTCCTTCACAGGTTCATGGATCTGAATACTTGGTCCCCAACTGGTAGTGTTGTTCTGGAAGGTTGTAGAACTTTCCACATAATGTCTAAAGGAAGTGGGCTGGCCGGGGTGGGTCTAGAAGGTGATGGCCACTACTGGTTCCCACAAGAGAGCCCTCTGCTTCCTGATCCCCACAACCATGTGATGAGCTCAGCCACATGCTTTGCTGTGGAGCTGTTTGGCCTGCCCTCCCCATCATGATGAACTGCTCCTTCAGAAGCTGTGAAGCCACAATAAACTTTTCCTCCCTTCAGTTGCTTCTTTTAGGTATTTTGTGTCCACAGAAAAAAGTAACTAATGCAGGAGGGTTTCTTTTTTCCATTTAAAAATTGTTCTTTTTATTTTAAAAAATGTGTGTGTGTCTGTATGTTTGTGTGTCTGTGTGTCTGTGTGTGTGTCTGTCTGTGTATGTGAGTTTAGGTGCCCATGGAGACCAGAGGCGTTGGCCCTGGAGCTGGAGTTACAGGTAGCTGTGAGCCACCTAATGTGGATGCTAAAGAATCAAACTTGGGTCCTCTGCAAGACTAGTGTGAGCTCTTAACCACTGAGTCATCTCTCCAGCCCCCCAGTATTGTTCTTTTAAATATGTTGGTACGAGCGTGTGCACATGCACATACCCGGTGGGTGATCACACTCACAAGAGTTCAGAAGCTGTTCTGGCAAAAGTGTGTAGGAAATGATTAACTTTAAGAAAAACAAATGTTGTAAACAGCAGCCCTCAAAGAAAAAATTTCCTGGGAGTCTTTGAACTTTCAATAGTGTTTTCACAGACAACTTGTTTTTCTTCTCTCTGAAAAATTAAAAACAATAACTGTTATGATGAGTTCTACAGAAAAAGACAATTTCTATGCCACCATGGCTTGATGAAGAACAGCCACCTCTCTTGGTTTCTGCCACACATAAGCAAACTCCCTGACTTACAGTCTTCCCACAGAGGAAGCCCACTGGGATCACAAGGCTATCTTGGGGTCACCCTCTTTGCTCGTTCGAACCCTCCCTCTCTCCTTGCAGTGAGTGCTGGATGGCCACAGGGTGAGGTGTGGGAGATGAGATAGGCTCCTTTCTGACCCACACGTGCATGCTGCAGCCTCGCTCAGGGTGGCTTCTGCCCCTCACCACTCGCTCTGGATTGTCTCTCCACAAATTTAAAAAAAGGAAGGGGGGAAAGCACACAAGGCTTGTCTGTCTTTTATAATGTTCTGTTTTAAAGGAAAGAAATCTCTAGAGAGAGACCAGGACCTAAAAAGTCCAAGGCCTGGAATTCCTCCTTTCTCTATTCCCATTTTAAACAGGAAACATTCCTGCTAAGAGAGTCCAGAGGGAGTGTTGGTTGTATGTTCATTTTAAGGCAGATAATGTTTGTGTGTTGCAAATGTCAGTGATTTATCCTAAGGGCTTAAAAATGAGTGCAGAGAAACCACATGTTTCCCTTCATGCAGAGAAATATCTCTGGTAGGTTTTGAAAGAAAGCACAGGTTAAGGATTTTTTTTTTTTTTTCTTTTTGAAGTTTTCTGAAATCTCCATCATGTGCCAAAGAAAATAGAAATGAGTGTGGGGAGTGATCTTTATTTTTTTTATAATAAAATATATAATGAATGTTGGAGATTTCTAAATCAGAAACAAAATTGTCAAAGGAAAGAGATGGTGGAACCTGGAGGTCTTTCATGTTGCCAGGCTGGAGTGACAGATTAGTGGCAATATATTCCTGCTCTATTTGTCATGGGCAATTTAAAACAGAGCAAAGCAACTCACATTGAATAATAGCAGCTGATGCTATAATAACTTGTACACAAACAATTTAATTTTTTAATCTGAAAACTCTCACTAAATTACCCCAAACTCATGGATCAATCTTTCATTATTATACATAGCCAAATTAAGACACACACAAAATATAGATGAAGAATTACATTGTTCACCCTTATGACTGTATTCACAGACAGCTCTCTTTGTGCCCCCAGAGCTCAGAACTTGTCAAATCTTCATTGATTTGGGGAATGTACAGAGCTGTTTTAACATCCAACCCCACAGATTATGGGGTGATTTTGACCCTCACTGACAGTGCCTGATGAACCACAGGCATGATGTTCTTACAGCCCTGTCATTTCTTTCAAGTGTCCTAACAGAACGTACTCTGCCATTAGAGAGCTTTTCGGTAATTATTATTGTTGCTTCTCTTCATATGTGCATCTGTAAAGCATGGAGGGATAAAAAGTGGAAGGATCCAGGGATGTGATGGTAAATGGTGCTGGTGAATATGTGCACAGAAGGGTTATGGGATTTTAAGAGTTGTAAACAGAAGTCATGTGCTTCACCCCAGGCTAGACAAGATGTCATCAACTGCACATTGTCTAGAGACATATTGCTTCTGTTATGGCAAATAGATCAAAAGATGTTTGTTGTCTTTGGTAGAAAGTTCCAGACGGGCTAGTTCTGTTAATGTTTGTTCTTGCCCTGGTCCTTTCTGTGTATCTGCTCTTTACACAGGGCACCTTGGCAACTAGCTTGGTTTTTCCTACTTTGTTACTGACTTTGTAATAGAAATAATTACTTTATATCACAGTTCTTGGTGGGTAATTCCCAGTCCTGGTTGGGTTTTGTTTTGTTTTGTTTTGTTTTGTTTTGTTTTGTTTTCAGGAACTGTAGAGGGCAGGCACACTAAGCCACACAGGGATATGACAGTAACCAGCCATACTTAGCCAAGGCTACACACAGCCCCTTAAAAGAGTACCTCTGGGATCTAGAAAGGAAGTGAGTAGCGTATAAGGGGATTCTGACCCTAAAGACCCTATATTTCTGTTACCATATCTCATTAGGCATCAAAAATGTGAAAGGATGAGGGGGTCTAACAGTCACAGGCTTAACAAAGTCAAACATCACTTGGAGAAAACTAGTTTAGTAACCATAATAAAGGTGAATATAAAAGGATTTAAGCAAACAGAAATGTCTTTCTTCGTGTGTATTGATCTGAGTGTAAGCAGTCCTCATTGACAGAGTGGCATTCATGTGTATTGATCTGAATGTAAGCAGTCCTCATTGACAGAATGGCTGTGGTGTCAGGGGCCCAGGTTCTTGCATTCTTGTTGCTCTGCCTTCTTAACACATGATTTTCACCTTGAGGTCTAAGATGGTGACTCTGATGACCAACAAAGATGGAAAGGAAGAAAAAGATTCTCTTTCTTTGCTTAAGGGAACATATCACTTCTGCTCACATATGCTTGTCCAAGCCTGGAGTGTGGTCACAACCAACTGCAGCAGGGTTGGAAGCATGTGGTTTTCAGCCAGCTCAGTACCTTCTGACACATATCTTTGCTTTTCTTTCCAGGGGAGGATTAACAGATCCTGTGGACTACCTGATGGCAGCACCACGAGGGCTCTACAAGGAAAGAGAGAGCCCATACTACCCAGGGGCCCATCCCGTGCACCCCCCAAGAGGGAACTACCCCCGCCCCCCAGATCTGAGGGTGGCAGATCTCCGCTATTCACAGTACTACCCACCCCCGCCAGTCCCCCAGCACAAAGGACCCTTCCGACAAGATGTTCCACCTTCTCCACCTCAGCACCAGAGGGTGCCAGTCTATCAGGAGATGGGCAGAGCAGGGCCCCGAGGGGGCAGCCCTGATCAGTACCCCTACCGTAACCAAGATCCCAGGCAGAAGAATCCCATGACTGCAGCCGTATAGCTGAACATCACTAAGATCTGTCAAGCAAGGAAGACATCTAATGCTATCTTTGTCCTTGCTAGACCCTGGTTAAGATCTCCAAGTTAAGATGCACCATGGTACAAAGTTGCTTTTGTTCACTGAGGATAAAACACTTGACTGCTAATCAAAGGGGCATCTTTTTTTAGAGGGTTGGAGTTTGGGGGTGTATATTCCAAAGGAATGATGGGGTCATAACAGTACTTCCTGATACTTGAAATGCTTGCAGAATTGATTAATAAGAGTGGCAATTGATAACTAACAATTAGTAGAGCTATATTACACAATGGCCCTCTGGCTGGGTAACCTGTGCTGGTTATCAACACATACACACACACATACACACACACACACACACACACACCCAGCAGAGGTGGCAGTACAGAGGTGATGGTCTCAGCCAGGTCTAGTGGCCCATTCAATGGCTTAGTACCAGCTCCCTTCTTGGAGCTGTGAGGCCTGCAGTGTGACAGAGTAGAGAGCTGCAGATGTTCAAATCTGCGTAAGTACAGTTTTTTCTCATTGAGAACAAAGGAACGGTAAATACTACTAGTGACCTCTGAAACTTTTTAGACCTGAAAAAGGACTGCATCTCTCTATTTGTAGTCTTTCTCAGATTCCTAACACTACTCATTTGATGCGAACGTGTCACATTACTTGCTCTTGATGTAAAAGTCAGTAGAATATGAATACAGTATTAGTGTCCTGGAAGGATGCGCAAAGCTCATGAGCGCTTCCAGAAGGAACATGTTCCAAGAACCACAGTGAGCAGGGGAAGAGGGCTGAGTATCCTGTCATCCTTGCCTTCCTCTCTCCCAGGTCCAGGCATGCTTACTTAGAGATAGTCCATTGCAGAATCCTCCCCAAATGCCTGTAATTATTCTGAGACCTCTACTTTAAGACTTCCACTTAAGGACTAAAGTATACTTTGGGTAAAAAGAAAAGAGGGCCTGCTGGTCAGGCCACACAGAAACTAATACCCTCAGGTTGCCTATTCCAGGCTCAGTGCCAAATGGTTCCCATCTGCCCTTGGGGAGAGTAAGAACTAACCATGGCCTTTAGAAACTGATCTCTAGTAAGAAGTAGATGGAAGTGAATGAGAGAGTATGTGTGTATGTGTGTGTTCGATCACGTGATTACCAATATGGAAAATTAAGATAAAAACGGTGCCTGGAAGTTTGATGAGGAAGGAGTCTGAAGAAGGGAAGGGGGATGTTGCATAGGGTTAAATCAGTCTGCACCTGCTCTAGCTCATTAACAAATGTCAGGGCAAAGCCAAGGTCTCCACCTGGTTAAAAGGGGAAAAAAATCTTAGGGTTTGAGAAGCTGAAAATCCACTCTTGCTTTCTTTGAGCTTTTCTGTAAAACAGAACATCTAAACCTTCCAACCTGACCCAAGTAGGAACACAAGCAAAAGAGTAGGGAACAGCACAACTTGAGCACAGCATTCCGAGTTGTTCAGTGGCTGTTAAAATACCTGAAGCCTTTTCACACTCCGGCACTCTCTCCCCCTAAAAGATCTGAAGTTCAGTGTAGATGTATTTTGGCTGAGAGCAGAATGCCTCTAACCAACAGGATTTAATGAATTATGGTATTCTAGAATACAGACAGTACCATTCAGCCCAGTTTAGTCTTTTTTTTTAATTTAAAATTGAGCTTTGTTACCAAGAATGATGCAATTGCTGGTTGTATATGTAAATAGTATTATTTGCTGGACCCGGAGAGAGATCATTTTCTAAACCACAATTACTGTGACCCTCTGAAAAACAGACTGTCAAGTTGCTGTTTGTCCTCTGCCATCTCTCTTCAGCCAGGCACCCTTAGACCATATATGTAATTTGTTCAGTGAGGTGGAAGATCTTGGGCTCTGCTCGCCAAGGTATAATGCCAGTAAGGTGTAGGGTCCCTGGCCAACATGCTAAAATTGCCTTTCCTTTAAGATAAAAAAAAAAAAAACCCTGAAAGAAGATAATACAATGAGGGAAATGTAACTTTTGAGGGGAACATAAAAAAATCTATTTTTAAGCCACTCATGGTAGTACATAGCTCATCTATATTCCCACCACTCAAGATGCTGAAGCAGGTAGACTGGAAGTTTGAGGCTACCTTGGGCTACAGAATACATTTAAGACCAGTCTGGACTATATAACAAGACCGTGTCTTTAAAAAAAAAAAAACTATATATATATATATATATATATCACTGTTCAGTACGTTCCATATTTTAATCAAATTTCTATAGAGCACTGGTGATTCCAAATCAGAAGTCTCCATTTGATGGATGGCCAGGTGTAGTTCAAGATGATAACCGTGTGCTATAGAAAAGTGGCCCTTGAAGATGACTATGTTTCCACCTCCAGCTTGAGTGCACAGTACAGGCTCCAGATAACCATTGTTGTTTATGTTGTACACACAGTCAATAAAATAGTTACTAATCCTAAGAGGCCTTCAGAGGTGTGAAGGTTCAATTAAAGAGAACAAAAAATAGATGATAACAGCTTTATTTTCTTGCTTGAAGTATATACTACTGGCTCCATTTGATCCTGCCTTAAAGAACTAACATTACATTTGTGACAGAGGCTCCATCAAGCCAAGCAACAGTTAAGAACAGCTCAGGTAGTAAGCTTTATACATGCCTGTACTAACCCTCCAATTGTCACCTCTCCAAGGTTACAGGACACTTTCCTAGTGCTCCCAGAGAGCAGATGGTTACTGGAAGTTCAGGCTATGATCAGCAGGTGCCCAGGAGAAAGAAATAGCTCCCCGTGTATTTATGGCCTTGGAAAAACTCAGCCTGTGTCTCCTTGTAGTTTGGAATTCTAACAGCCCTCTGGAACAGATTGGTATACTAAGAGGGCTACAAACCCTTTTAGTAGATCAGCAACACCCACACTGCTTCTGATCTGACTGCTGGGTCATCAGTCCTCAAAGGCCCATTTTTCTCCCTTTTTGTATGAGGAAAGATCAAAGAGAGCAGACTACTGAAGACTGTAGTCGCAGGAAAATTCAGTCTTCCAAAAGAGAAATACATCCCATTAGTCCGTCTCACCACTGGCCTGAGGTACCATCCCTCTTGGTTTAATATTGTTTCCCTGAAATATCAAGCCAGTGGACGAAGCCAAGCTCAAAAACAGGAACATTTTCTTCTTAAAGCATGATTTTATAGGAAACAAAGCTTGGAGGAAAATTACTCTGAAGCTCATTATTCTCAGTCTTTTAGATACATGTGTGTTGAATCCACAGGATAACATAGAGCAAAGGTTTTAAATTCAAGAGCGTGGTAGAGATACAGAGACCTGTGAAATTTCGCTATGGCTTGATTTTTGCTGCCAACTAAGTAAACTAAGATCTGCTATCTTAAATTCTTGAACTGTAAATCTACCTTCTGAAGGAAATTCACCTGTAGCTTCAGGAGGATGGGAATGCTAGTGTCTCTGTTCCCTGACACACACAGAGATCAAGACTATAAAGAATAATTACTCCCCCTCACTAGTAACCATGGCATTTTGTTTGTTTGATGTTTGGTTTTGGAGGAATGTTGTAGCATTACAGGAGAGTGGAGAGCTTGGTTTGGGAAAAAAATGTGTGTCTGTAAAATTCCCATCAGCATCACACTCAGAGACCCACAATGAGTGGCTTTCAAACCGACATTGAGTTGGATAGATACCCCACTGCTTCCTGAGTCCGTGTGAACAGAAAGTCCAAGTTTCATGCAATTAGGCAGGAGGAAAGGCATTGGAAGTGTTTCTCTGCTCTCAGTTCATACTAACTTTGGGTAGAAAGGATGCTATAGTGAGATGGGAAAGGGGTGTCTCTGTTAGATATCCCTACAAAGTCACCTTTCTGATAAAAAGAGGGGAAAACGTTAGAGATCTAAAATAAGCGTCGTCTCTCACATGGAGCTGTGACTTCTAAGTGAAACTCTTTCTCCCTCATGTCCTTAAATAGTCATACGGTCACACACAGCCTGACTTTTTAAGTGGGGTTTGGCTACTGGGCTCAGAGTGGGAAGTGAACTTGCCCAAACACTACTAACCCATCTCCCGATCCACTCTTCAGAAAGTGTTCAGTTCCATCTGCACTGCTATGGACTATTGCAACATAACACAAAACCTGTTGTTTATGCCCTCACGTTTCTAGTCTTTCTTGTGCTTTATGATTACCAAGTCATCTGTTCATACATTCTAAAGATAAATTATATGAATCATCTTTTGGCAAATGGGGATGGAGAGTGAATTCTTTAACAAACTTTTTTAAATGATCCCATTTATATCACAGAAGACATTTTGGATGTTATATATGAGTATATAAAATTTTCATGTTTTATTTTGCATTAAAATAAAGCTTTATTCAGTCAGTGAGCCATCAGAGTCTTGGTTTGTCTGGGGAGCCGATGAATGAGTCAATAGGCTTGCTCACCTGTGGCAGCAACAGCTTGTAGTTCTTTCAGTAGTTCCACAGCAACATCCGAAAACAGCAGCAAAGCAAAGGACAAGAGCAAGGAGCATCAGCCGCATGCTGGACTTCCAAGAAGCAGGAGAGTCTCAAGCAGGAGGGCTACCGGGGAGCACAGGGGTTCAAGGCCTAAAAAGAGAAGGAGACAAAATTAGAGAGAAGCTGAGCTGCAATGTGTTCCCAGAGTAGACACCAACCAAGTCCATGGTGAACTCTGGAGAGCAAAGCTGCCCCAAATTGGGATGAGAGAGCTGGGTCTTCATGCCACAGGGTTAGCCAGGAAGAGGAAAGACCTAAAGTCAAGCAGTTTTCTTCTGCTTAGGCACTCCCCAAAGAGGGCTGGCAGCTGAGCCATCTCTGGTTGGTGATAACAACAGTTGAGAAAATAGTTCCTTTATGAAGTGGGATCTGAGCCTCCCATCACAGCAGCCACATCAGCAGCCAACACTGGTGACCTGGTGACCTCTTTCATTCTGGAATCACCCCCCCTTATCTATAGAAGATTATCTTTGACAGCATTGTGGTCTCTCTCAAGGCCTTCCTAGCCTTCTGTATCTCCCCATCTATCTCTGAGCTTGCTCCCTCCAACCCACATCTGTACTCTAAAGGCCTCCCATCTGCATTTGTAAATAAAATTTTCCTGGAATATATCTACACCCATTCATTTATACAGTGATCTAGAACTCTTTCCATGCTCCTTCAATCCCACTCTGCTCCCCACTCCTGCCAGAGAAAATTTTCTGCAATGGAGAACTGGCCAGATTACCCTTCTGAAGGCAACAAAGTCTTTGTAAAAGAATACTGAAAATTAAGGGCTAGAAAGATGGCTCAGCAGCTAAGAGCACTTGCTGGTCTTCCAGAGGCCCTGGCTTAATTCTCAGCACCCTCATGGCAGCTAACAACTGTCTGTAACTCCAGTTCCAGAGGAATCTGATACTCTTGTTTCACCTCTGCAGGGACTTCACAACACGGGTGCACTTACATGCAGACAATACACTCATAAAACAAAATATTTTTTAAAACTTTTTCCTCTGCTCTTTTTTAAATTTTATTCACTATTTTTATTTTATGTGTATGCATGTATTGTCTGTATGTAGGTAAGTGCACCCATGTCGTGTAATGCCTGTGGAGGTGAGAAGAATCTGTCAGATCCCCTGGGACTGGACTTACAGACAGTTGTTAGCTGCCATGTGGGTGCTGGAATTTGAACCTAGGTCTTCTGCAAGAACAACCAGTGTTCTTAACCACTGAGCCATCTCTCCAGCCCCTCCTCTGCTCTTTTCAAAAAAAAAAAGAGTGCTGAAAATCAGTAGACATAGGCTTAAAACATTTATCAGGCGTTAGCCACTAACTTACTATGTAACATTGGTAAAGTACTTCTCTATCTAGCATCACTTGTGAAATGAGCTGCTCTGCATCTTAAGGAGTTCCTTCAAGTACACACAAAACTCAGTTGTGTGCATCTCTTCCCAACTTGAAACTCAATGGTACCATCTTGAAATGGGCCAAGCTAGAAGCATTCAAAACACAGGCATGGGGAAATGGGCAAATGCAACAAATCTGAGTGCTTTCTCTTTTGAAAAAAAAAATCAAACATTTATCAGCACACCATGATAACTATCAAGAAAGATCTGGTGAGATGGTTCAGCAGATCAAAGCACATGCTGCACAAGCCTGACAACCTGAGTTCAATCCCTGGAACCCACGGTGGAAGGAGAGAACTGACTCCTGAATGTTGTCCTCTGGTCTCTACATATGCACTGTGGTATGCACACTCCCACACTCACATGCACACATACATATCACACCATAACACCAAATTCTCCCCTGGTAGACCTGCACATGCACTTTCTTGGCTCCTAGGCTACACTGTCCCTACTCCCAACTGACAAGACCAACACAATGTTCCTCTAAGTTAAAGTTTGGGAAATAAGGATATTTATTTGGGCTTGCCAACCAAGTTTATACTATCTGGGAGGGGGTCACTTGCAAAGGCATGGACATGCCTATGCAACACACACATACACACACACACACACACAAATAGAAATTAATACTTTAAAACTAGCCATCATTGCCCATGGTCCCTTTCCCCTACATCTTGGCTGGGCTTTTGAGATCCACCACTGTCAGCACCTTGCCAAGATAGTGACTACTCACTGTTTCCTGGCTTCCTCACATCTGTCCTCAGACCTTCCCCTTCATGCAATTGAAGCTGACCAATTGGGTGGGTCTCTAGTTCTTTCAGAGGACATGCCTATGCAACACACACATACACACACACACACACACACAAATAGAAATTAATACTTTAAAACTAGCCATCATTCATTTCATCTCTGCCCCCATTCAATACACAGGTGTGGATATCATACACATACTCTTTAAAAGCTCTCTGTGTCTAATACTTGCAGATTTAAGTCGTAAGTCTCAAGCCCTTCAAGACCAGCACAGTTCTTTCCCCTCTGCATCCCTTATTGTTCCTGATTTTCCATCTATTATTTTAAATTACTTTTTTAGCCCACACACACATTTTCACAGCTCTTTACCATGGCAATAGCAAGAAGCAGAGCTGTCCCTTCTTAAAATGGCCTATGGTGGACCCTTATTCAGCCCTCAAGCCCCAAATCAAGCAGATTTCTCCAAGAGGCCTTGAGGTCATATACTGGAGACTGACTTTCGCACGTACATCCCACACTTTGGAAGCAGAGCTTCCTCCTAGCTAGAAGACCTAAAAGTGAAGATCACATTTGCCAGATTTCTTTACAACCTAGGTTCCTTGTGAGGCCCAGCTTTGACCCAGCAGACCAACACAGCTGAAAGTCACACAGGAGGACTATCCATGTGTCTACTGCATATATGCTCATAGACGCACTGGGCTTCAAGCCATTGCTCCAGCTCTCTGGGGGTCAAGACGTTGTGTGATTGTTATCCATCAGGTGAGTATGGATCCTACCTGAGGGAGCACTAGCTCTTTGGGCCTTTTTCTGATCATACCAAGCTCAGCAACCCCCACAATGGAACACATCTGTGATGTTGTCATGAACTTATTCCTGAAAGCAATACCTAAAACTCACTCCTCCGGCCCTTCCAACAATTCTGCAAACACCAAACTCCCCACATTCATCCTTTTACTGTTTCAATGAGCTAGAAGGGGTTCAATTATCTGTAACTAAACCAATCAAGACACTTTCCACACCCCTTCTCCCAAGGCAGAGTTGGTAATTCCACACTACATGCTACTGAGATACTGTCTGCAGATCCTCAATAAAACTTTTATGGTCTGTATTACAATGATTAGTTTCCACATCTGTGTGGCCTTCTAAGGGGTATCGTATTTGTAACACATTGCCTGGCTCCGGTTTTATGCTCAAGAAATATTTGTTGAATTCATTTGAATGAAGAAATGAGGTGTGAGGATTCTTTCCCTGAATTGCTGGGCTGCTGACATTCCACCTCGAAGTCCAAACCATAAATCTCAAAGTCCTGTTGTTAAAGATCGCCTGGTATTACTCTTGAGGTGAAAGGTGTTAGCTCACGTGGGCATGCCAGAGTCTAATTTAAAACATGAAAAAGCAGGCCAGGAGATTGTAAATGCAATGGGTAATGCATTATTTAGAGGGTAAAGAGAGACTTAAGTAAAGAGAAAATGTATTACTTACGACCTACTAAGATGGAAATACTTTTAGTCACAGATGATTACTATTATTATTGTATAATTCCTTGGATTTTAGGCAAGTGCTTTGCAATCACCTGCATTACTTGTTCCTTTCAACAACTATAGATGGTGAGTTGGAACAACTCTCTGACTTTCCATAAAGAAGCTGAGTCCTACATACAATGGTACTAAAATAAAGATTTAATGAAAGCTGTTTAGACATGTCCAAAGAAACTATAGGCTATTTTGTGTCTCAGCAATTGAAATTTCCCTTTTAGTGGCCATGTTTTTCCTAACTAATTATTGTTTATATTACATGCTGAATATCTCATGATCACAGCAATTTTGACTTCTCAAAAAACAAAGAACATCACATTCTTATTTTACATCAGAAGAAACTGAGGCTTGAAGAAGCCCACATCTAGTAACCCAGGTCTACACAGGGAAGGGAGAAGCTGAATTCCTTTATTCTCTATCCTTTTGAGAACCTGCTCTGTTCCAGACTTTGTGTGTGAGGTCCTCCCCTTTGCAGCATGAGTGGGGAGTCCACTAGACTGTATTAAAAGCTCCTCTGCAGCATGTGGACAAGGTGCTTCATGTATACCCCTCCCTCATCATTGCCTTCTCTGAGGTCACTGGTCATGGTTAAGATGTTTCTGCTATCAACATATCACCTCAAAGACAATTTGCATGAGTTGCTTTTCTTGCTGCTGTAACAAAATAGCTGACAAAAGTCAAGTTAAGGAAAGGGGGCTTTGTTGGCTCACAGTTTCAGGGGATAGAGCCCATCAAGTACAGAAGGTATTGACAGCATGGGGCAGCTGCTAGCATGGGGCAACTTGTTGCCTCCTGTCTCTAGTCAGAAAGCAGAGAGAGACGAGTGTTACTGCTCATCTGCCTTCCCCTTTGGACTTTTTAGTCCAGTCCACAGAGTGGTACTGCCCACATTCAGAGTGGATTGTCTCTCCTCAGTCAAGTCTCTGTGGAAATATCCTTCTACACATACCCAGAGGTGTTCTCCTAGATGATTCCAAACCACTCAAATTGTCAATGAGGATTCACCATTACACCATTTGAAATACCATTCTTCAAGTTTGAACCTTTATATGGATGGATGTTGTCATCTGTCCCTACACAAACCCAAATATTTAAGTTTGCTGCATTATAATGAATGTATGACATCATTTTACATTATTTTTTAAGATTTATTTATTTACATTTTATGTGTATGAGTGTTTTGCCTACATG